TGAAATTTGTGGCGTTCATTCTTGTATCCGTCAGTAAGTTATTTTTTTTTATACGATACTAAGTGACTGGACGAACTAGTCGTACGCCTGGTGGTACAGTAAAAGTTGCAAAATTACAAATATTTGAGGGACACTGTCACTGCGTCTGTCACCCTGGGAGATAAGTTGATAAGTCGAATTATAGGCGACGAAGAGGTCTCATCACGCCTTGAACCTCTGCAACTGCGTAGAGATGTTGCATCGCTTAGCGCCTTTTACCGCATTTACCATGGTGTGTGCTCTGAGGAGCTGTTCAACCTCATCCCCCCTTCCCCGTTCCTGCTCAGAAGCACGCGTGCTGGCCTTCGTAGTCACCGTTTCACTACCTGCCGCATTCCATCGCGTACTAAAAGGTTCGGTGGCTCCTTTCTCTGCCGCACGGTTGACAAATGGAACTCCCTTCCGGCACATGTCTTCCCTCCCTCTTATGATATGGGGTCCTTCAAACGAGGCGTGAAGAGGCATATTGTAGGCAGGCAGGGTGGAGGCGGCTAGTGCAGTGAGGATTCCATCGCTGCACTAGGTTTCTTCGCGTTTGGATACCACTTTCCACTTAACATCAGGTGGAGTGGAGTCATTTGCCTGTCAGGTATAAAATAAAAAAAAATAATAAAATAAAAAAAAATAAAAAAAAAGTCCCATGTGCATGTAATTTCGCCTACACACCACCATTCAAAACCGGAACGCAGTAATCTTCACATTACTACTTGGCGACAGAAATAGGTACGGTGGCAGTACTTTCCTCATTTGTGTATTATTTATTCGTCATAATAGTATTTATATTGAATGAAATAAAGGAAATAACCAAATAGGCTGTATATAGATGAAAAATAAGAAAATATAAATTTCTACCTGCTTTACTTATTTTACTTATCTTGCCACTTCAGTAAAAGTGCCGTGGCTCTCTGTAACCGTTCTTGTTTTATTCATAATACTATATCCAGCTTGGGATCTGCGTGTAATTGATTACAACACCCTTGCATCGAACTGCCATTTTTAACCGGCTTTAAAAAGTAGGAGGTTCTGAATTCGACTGTATGTTCCTCTTCTTTTTTTTTGGTATGTATGTTACGCGATAAATCCGGTATTTGTGAACCGATTTTCATGATTCTTTTTTTGGTGGAAAGGGGGTACTTCCATAGTGGTCCCATTTCATTTTGAAGAAAATCATCCACCTTGAAGGGTGGCTGTTCACGCATGAAAATTCATTTTTATAAATAGCGCCTAACTTTAATTTAGGAGCAATTACTTTAATGGTTGATTTTGCTATTTCTCCAATTCAAGGCGTTTTTCTCTCAATATACTTTGAGCAGTGAGAAACGATTTTTATTATCTCCAGTGTCAAGTCCTGTATAGTGGCGAACTAGGGGATATTTCAATAAAACTTAGCAAATAGATGTACTATTCCACGTACTTTTGAGGTCGGTTTTTTTAGTACTCTGTACTGAGATCATGTTTGTCTATATTTATACTTATTGTATCTGAAGAGAAATAAAAATTTAATTATCTGCATCAAAATCTATCTACCTTTTACAATATCATGTTCGGGTTATGTGTAACATCTGTAATATCTGTTTCGTTTCAATAAAATTAATTCTGATAACGTGACTGACGTGTAATAAATAAATTATTCCTGCACAAACAATGTCAATCAATGTTTTGTAAACTGAACTCAGATTCATCGTGTAATAGATAACTAAATTCATTGAATTTATAGTCCTGGAGCTGCAGGTGCAGATGTTCATAGACGATGACAACTGTCTAAGAACCTTTAGTAAGTCCTTACCATCACTGCCTGTGACTGTACTCAGTTTTTTTGCCCATATCCATTTTTGGACGGAATATTTTTATAAAAAAAAGCAAACTTGAGAATCATAAAAACAAAGGCTGATAAAAATTACAGATAGAAATAAATCAGTGTTTTTACAAAACTTGTAAAATAAATCAGAATGTTTCAGTAACATTACATGTTTTATCAAACACCATGTACAGGATATCATCTGAACCCACTGCTCTATATAGGGGTGTCTATTCTGCGGTAATCCGTATCATCTGCTACTGGGTAATTATTTAAGGGATGCACGTAAGCTCGGGCGCGTGGCCGACCCTAATTGTTACGTCTGATAACCAATAAGAGCTTAATGTAGGGTGACTGCAATATTTTTTAAATTAAGACTTTATAGTGAGAAAGAATTATAGAAAATTTTAAGGTATTCCTCTTGATTATGCCCAATTTCACAATATTACCAACATTTTCTTAAAAAGCTAAGGTAAAATCAACCTATTATGATTAACATAACAAGCCTTTACAACAGTGGACAATTAACCAGAATCAGCGTATACGCCGTTTTCCCTATTTTACACATACGTAACGAAAGGTAAAATGTTATTTTCACATCAGCAATCAATCATATCGCGAGCAAACCATTAAACACTGTTCCTTTAACCCCAAAACAGATGGTACCCCTACAAGCCGTAGAAAATAAATTATCAACGCTGGGTGTGTCATTGTTGCATCCGCTCCTCAAATGTATTAAACCGCGGCGATTGACTGCACCCTGCATGAGCGTGACGCATAGCTTTTGCGAAAAGTGGTGTGGCCATATCGATATATTTTAGGGTAGATATATGTTTAATAAATCAATGTCAGTAAGATAATACAAATGGAGATTGTCAACGGATTTTTAAAAGGTTTTTTTTAACACTTGAAATTGTTTAAATAAAGTTTGCGTTAAGAATTTTAAGCAAAACATTTTCTTTGCTACAACAAATACAATGACAGTTTTTACTTTCATAAGAACCTGAACACCTTGATGATGACTATTTTTCTATATCTGGGTTGCCTAGATACAAAATTTTAATCGTTATAGTGAAAACTTTAAGCAAACTTCCCAGAAATTAATCGTCTTGAAGCGATTTTCAATATTCAAAGTGTTAAATGGATTCATTTCAAACATTTGCAAAAGCTCTCAGCCGCTCATCAAGAGTGTCTTGGCACAATTACTGGAACCTCGGCCAACATGAAGTACGTTAGAATACAACAATCACTAGTTTCAAGTACTTTTTAAGTATTTCTTTGGAACCTGCACGTACTCAAAAAATTTTAATGTTTTACTTGTCTTTTCTTTCCGTATACCTTTATTCTATTAACTTATATACGTACATTCTAGTAGATTAAAGTATTTGTTTTATTGTTATGTTGTGTAACGGTGTTATTCATAATTGATTTTCGTACTTTTAAATCTATTGTATAATTTGGAGCAAGAGTAAAAAGTGACATTTCAAATTAAATTTTACTATTGACTTTAAGTTATCGATATAAAACTAGAGCACCACTAGCAGTTAATACCTCTATAAGTGTTGTTACACAACATTTGCGCTATTGTTCACAAATCTGCGGGCCCCAGTGTGCACTACCCTTACAATACCTTACATGCCCATAAAAGCAGATCTATTAAAAAGCGTATCATGTATATTGTACCTACCCCACTAACAAGTATAAATCAAAGTTTTTGTCGACAAATTTATCGGGCGTCCCTTAACTTCAAAACTATATTGTATATATTTTTTTCAATACTCCAAAATTTAATATTAATGATCCGTAAATATCATGTCAAAACGGTCACCCTAATTTAAGGCATGTAATGAAAAAAAACAAAATATTTTTAAACACATTTATTTTTTATTAAAAAAATGCGCTTTTCGAGGTATTATGACTCCGTTCGTCTCATACAAAGCAGACAGACATACAAAACTTACATGCGAATAACATATTAAGCTTTCATTATTATAGATATATAAATAGATGTTTGTTCCATAGACAAACGTTGAAAGTCTTTCAATAGATGCTCCAATTATTTAGCTGAATCAATCCTACAAGTTAAATGTGAGTTGATTCACTTTATTAAATAAAGAACTACATATAATATCCCTACAAACGCAAAAGTGCATACCTTTATTAAATAAGTCAATCGGCCAAGTGGTATATTTGACGTTACTTATTCTCCCACTTAGAAACTCGGGTAACAGGCAACATATTATAGGATATACTACATATAGTACGTGTTTCTTTTTTATTTTTGTCGTAAAAGGATTTCTACTAAAGATAACAAAGCCCTAATTATTTGTTCTACTCAAAGGCTTTCAATGTCTATGGAAATTAGAATAATCGTACAAAATTGTGAATAATAGAAGCTTTATATTAAGTATATTGTTTACAACATCCAGTTCCTATATCAAAATAGATCATAACATTTTATATCTTTTAACTAGTACCTACAAGATTGCATCACGCTACTTAGGTTTATGTAATAACGTACTTGCTACAATACTAAGAATAAACCTTTTTATTATTATGAGCAAGGCGTACATGTAAGACATTGAACAGTTCCATTCTTTCAGTTGTTAAAATATTAATCATAAGAGCTTCATAAATAAAATTATAATTAAAATTAACAGTATAAAAATAAAGCGATTCTCAACTTATTTGATACAAATAAAAATTATAATCTTAATTTGAAATGGAAAAAAATATTAAAATAAAAACGTCGATCTTCTGAAAAGTTTGAGGCATAAAATACGATTTATTTTACTTTAAAAATGATTGAATGAATGACTTGAGAATAGATGAAGATATTCCGTACTAAACTGTATACTGATTTTGATGATATAATGTGATGATTTCGTAAAAAAAAAAAGAAAAATTGTTGATACGACTGTCGTACAAAATTATTTAACAAAATTGAACAAATACGGCATGGTACTTACTTGAAAATAAGCAAGTATTTTCTAAGTTACAATTATACACTAAGGGGCCATTTCGAAAATAAACCTTTTTAAAGGAAGTTAAAATAGCTCCTGTGGGTTCATTTTGCATTTTACTTTTTTAGTCCTCTTGTTACAACATTAATAATCACTATGTATGTTTAAATTGAGTGAAAACTACCCCAAAGTAATTATTCTAAGTCTAAAGGCAATATTTACAAGTTTCTTGTTTATTTACAAATCTTACAATTGGATAGTTTGTGGCTAATTAGGTTCTCTTATTCTAAATTTTAAAATTTAATATAAATACGTAAATAAGCTGGTATACTTTGCGTATATTTTTTTATTTATTTAAAAACTTTAGCAAAGGCATGTGATATTATAGAGTGATATTTACTGGGCAGTGTGATTATGTATCTTATATAGCTATAGAATTTTATATATTGTGTTATAATATACATAATGTGGTCATTTTTTGGTCACTGAATTGCATATCTAAGCTGCGTTTTATTATTCCTAAGTTGTGACATGATTACACGTATGTAAAACGTACCTATATACAGTAGACTAACCTAATATAATACCCTCATATAAAGAAGTAGTACTAGAAGGCACACTTTGTACCTTTTGAAGCAACAATTAGAATTAGCTTTGTGTACTTTATACAATTAGACTGAAGTGCGCAATGATGGAATTATTCCATTTGAATAGAGTAGACATAGGCTCCGCCAATATGTTGTTATATCATATTGTTTGCAATTGATTCCGTCTGATCTTTGCAGATTTGAATTGAATAAAAGACCTCTCGTTGCAGATTTAAATGATGTGAAACTTATGAAACCTACGAACTTTAGCCTTGTACACAAGCCCAAAATTCAATCAGTAAAGGTTACAATACAAGCTGTTAGCATGAATGCAAGTTATATATTTCATTAAAAGATTGAATGACTAAGTACTGGGCAAAAAAAAACTTTAAACAAACCCGTCGACTCGATAAGAATATAGTCATCTTAACCTCAGGTACATAATTCTTAAACAGATTAAAATGGACCAGCAGTCAGGATAAAAGCTTTTCATAATACCTATTACTTATATTAAAGGATATACTTAAAGTAATAGATGTCTTAATTGTACAAACCACACAAATTTCATGTAGTATATAATAATTTTAATATACTACAAAATATAGGCGAAGATACAAAAATACGAGGTGGTAAACAATGATAATGACAGTAAAGCTGAATACACACCTAATATTAAGAGTAACAATCTTTTGGCAGTTCCCAATACTGTTCGCGCTTGTCACAAATACAATATAAGCTTTTCACATGTATAAATTGCGTATTTAGTCATTTGCATGACAGAATGCATTCAATAAAGCTTTCAATAAATATTCATTAGCTATTATAGGTACGTATCATAAAAATAATCGCAAAACGATTCTTACTAAACTACAAAAAAAACATTAGAGTGTTAAGAGAGCTTAATGCAAAACATAACTTGTTACAACCATAAAAAAAACAATCACTTTAGCATCATTGCAACTCCCATAAATCAATACCCATAAAGTTTTATAAATGCGACTGAATGCATTCTACCAATCAAAATCAAAAATACATGAGATTTCGTCCGTTCTTTATCCAATTAGAGAACATTCCAAATTCAAACGGCGGAATTCTTGCCAATGATTGGTCCACCACTGGTTGCGTATACGCGTCGTCCATCGAACTCTACTGAGGAATTTCTCTTCAACGCTTCGTCCGCTGTGTCCTTAAGAGGTTCCTTTTCATCCCTAAGAAAAGATACATTTTGAGAATAGAATTTACAAAAAGCCACGAAGCTTTATTTACAGCACGTATTTATAAATATCTACAACTGATGAACTAATTTTATGTAAACAAATTAAATTGTATTTAATTAAATCTTAACAATAAAGAGTTTTAAACGTAGTTCAATCTCACCTGCCGATGAAAATGAATTAAAAGACATAATAAATATGTGATCAGAATGAGAATATGTTAATAAATATTACATGTATAATATATGATTGTTATGAGAATCTATTTACAAATATATACAGCCATATTTATTATTTTAACATAACCTTTACAAAAACAATAATGTTAACGACGAACATTGCGAGCTAATTACAAGAACACCGCACACCAAAGGCAAAAAAAAAACAAATATTATCTAGTGTAAAATATTTATATCCAAGACTCGTCAAAATTTTATATTAAGGATCAAATCACACTGAAAGAGCAGCGGCCGGAGAGGCATTTTTGGTGCAGAGTATACTTAGCATTTTGAATATTATCTTCTAAAGAAAATAGTTCAAATTGATTTAAAGTGATAGAATGTATAGTGACTAATTCAAAGAAGCACTGTGCTAGGTCCTCCGGTACTTCAAATTCAATGCTAAAATAATATTATTGATACGAGATGGAACAACACAAAGAAAAATTCCTTCGATCCAGATAGATCGAACCAGCGTCTGTTGCCATACCGGAGTCACCGCTCTTACCAACTGAGTTACAGACCGAGTTCTTTATGAATTTCTCTATGTGCTTGTTGCAGATCTGTATAGGGTTTAAACAGATTTTTTTATGCTGTCAGACATGTATGAATATTATGGTATTAAAAATATCATGACACTGAATAAAATAAATATGCTAATAATGAATTTTTTTTTCAAATATTTTACACTAGTAACGACAAAATATAATGCGTATGTAAACATTTTGGTATATCTTACACTGGCGTGGTCGGTACATAGCTACAAGACCGGAGCAGCGTGGGGAGAAACGAAGAAATAAAAATTTTGTTAGTGATTTGTGCTTCACAGTGGGTTATATTACAATTTGTGATAGGGTTACAAGAGCTTGCATCAAACTTGCAAGCTGTACTTTTACGACGAGTTTATATCGCACTGCTTACAATCGTGTTGTAACTCAAAATATGTGAAATTCAAGATTACACTATTGCTGAACGTAAAATTTGATTCTCTACACGTCAATAAAACTATTTCGTTACAAAATTATAAAAAGACAATTAAGAGATATCTTAACTCAAAATGAGACAATTTGTTTGTGAACTAGCTAGACAAAACAGTCCCTACTCAGAAATATGAAATTATTTTTCTCCGTTTCATTTTTACATTACGGGCAAGAAGAAAATTGTTTAGATATCTGTAATAAACTTTAACGTATACATAAATTTGAATAATCTTTCGTGGGAAGTAATTCGTTTTTCATCGATTCTGAAAAAATACACTTTTTGAGTTAATACACTATAAAGTGCGATATTTATGACACTCACTAGCGACCTCGACAAATGTTTGCAAATTTTGCACTTTGACTAACGCACAGTTCACTAAGAGTTAAAAAAGTTATACATACGTAATATCGATTTCTTTGGTTTTCGCGATTGTTACTCATTGAAAATTAAACTATTTTTCACGAAAAAATAGTTTCAGTTATAAATACATTTTACGCGGTCACTGGTAAGAAAGCATTCTGTAAACTTGTAGTAGATGTACTGAAGCTAGTTTTGTATTTCACATTCATCATAATCATTTATATAAGCAATACGGCAGTTTGATCGAAGCAATGCATTTGTAATTGGTATTCTAAGGGTCGTATTCTCTCAATGCTCAAGTCAGAACTTGAGTATGATTCAAAGCACTAGAAATCATACTCAAGTCCTTGCCATTAGGGTCATATTTCAAGTGCTTGAAATCTTACTCAAGTCTGCTCAAATCCTGACTTGAGCATTGAGTACAGTTCTGGAATACGACCCTAAATATCATTTAATCGGAAATCTCCAATCAAGACACTGTCTAAAGTTATTGAATTTTACTTATAACCCTTTGTGTTTCTATATATAGGTAAATTAATTCTATAGGATTTCTAAATAAAAATCAATAACAAAACATGAAAGTAAATCACAAAGAACAAATAAACAGTCGAAAGAGATGTTCCAGGAGAAAAACCACACGAGACTTAAGAAAACCGTTAATTTGAAAGACAATTGGATTATTCGATAAGAATCCACTATACGATATTTTTGTCTTCACTAGAAAATACTCGTAAACAAAGACTGTACATTTAGTTTTAAACTACTTGGTAAATATAAACATTTCTGTTTCAAAGCTCTATTTGCTACCAAATTCAGACGAGCGATATTTACAGAAGGCACGCGAAGCACGCTTTGAAATCAATATTTACAAGTTGGTCGGCCCCTACGAATTTTTTCATTGGCCTAGTTATTCCTGTCAATATCACTGTTTGCTTTATTGATTTTGTTGTGCGTTATTGTTTTAATTTCACGCTATGCAATTGATTTTGTTCAATGAAAAAATGAAACAAGACGGATTGGAGGTTTTTCATTGTTTACTTTATTTCCGTTTTTATTTATTGGGCTCGTTGCCGTTGTTTCCAATCATATAAGTTGATTTTTTCAAACGATCTTTATTGTATAAGCATTTACAAAACGCTGAAGATGTGCATATTTTTGGCCAATCTGTACAAAGGCTAAGCCAATATATTAGTTTCCAAAACTAAACTTGTTTCACGGGGGCCGAACCAGAGCATCCGCACACACAAAGCATGCAAACATGAAGTGCCTTACGTCGGGGTGGGCACGAGCTTGACGGGCGGCGGCAACGGTGCGGGGGAGGGCGGCGCGCGCGGCTTGGTGCTGCAATAAGGGAGCGGGAAGCGCCAACCGTACAGACTAGCGGGAAGAAACATCTCTCATCGACACTAGACTAGCCTGGATGGATATCTCATCAAGATTGGTCTTAGACATTTCATAATTTATAACTTCGGTTAAACGTTTATCATCATAACTTTTTGTTGTCACGCTACAGTTTTGGTTTTATTGTAATTTCTTGATGGTGATTGAGTATTACTCGATTTTTATTGACTAACGAAAGAAGATATTTGACAGAATAGGATTTTATTATTTTATCTGTTCCATGTGGAATTTTAATTTTAATTACGTCGCTATGAAGACCATACTTGACTCGAGTAACTACGTGTGACTAATACAGGCTAAAATAAAATGGACACAAACTAGAACATAAAGGTCACAAGGTAACAACATGACCAAGTTAGACACAATAAAGAAACAGAAAGTAATAAATATATTATAAAAATATATTAATAAGAAATCGATGACGTGCTGTCGCGTGAACACATAATTTTGAATTAGTTAATGACATTAACTAAAGTTAAATTTAATCCGACGCAATAAAAATTGTTATTAAAAGAAAAAATAATTACCTTCCGAGTTTGGCTTCATCATCGTTGTGTTTCTTGACTCTCTTACCGCAAAGGGTTGCGATGACTCCTTGTCGTCGGAAGCAAAGTAATAAAAGGTCCACGACGATAAGGCAAAAGAACACTCCAGCCAAAGCCACGCCAATGATGGCTCCACTCGAGAGAAGTTGGGAAGATGCATAATCAGATCGCCCCACACCTGTTGAAATTGACAATATTGTAGAAACTTTTGAAATTAACGGGTGTATAAGAGCAGTATACACTAAACAATAAATGATAAAACTGTAACTATAAAAGAAAACAAATATCAACAGTACGTATTCAACAAGTACAAGAATAAAATATAATAGTATGTTTACTGCTCTTAAACGATAGTTAGTTTTATGCATCACGTTGCAAAGCTGGAGATGTTAGATGACGCGATAGTGATTGCAATAAATGCTTCGGCTCTTGTGTTCATACAGTGAGAAGAGACAGTTTCGGTACAAGCAGTCCATACACTCATTACAATCAAGTAGATGGTGACCTACAGGAGTGCTTTCAGTTCAAGAAAACGTGCACCCAATCACCGATAATTTTACACCTTTAAATAAATTGGACCAATCTAAATTTGGAGTAGAAAGCTCTCCGCTAGAATGAAATGGGGTTTGAATGAAAATGAAACGATGAATGATGAAAAATGAAGTAATGATGCATAAACGATAAACCTTAGGATTAACAATAAAAGAAAAGTTGTCAAGATGCAAACATTCCAAACAATTTCGATTAACGCAACATAAATGTTCAAACCCCATGACAAAGTTTTGAAACTATAAGCGATATCGATAATCTAGAAACAATATTCTGTTATAACAATTTTAAATAACGGAACTGAAAAACCTAAAAGAATCTATAACCATCACCTTATAATAAATAACCCTAAAGTAATAAAGAAAACAACGAAACATTTGTTGGTTTTAATAAAATTACAAGTGATAGATGATGAATATGTAAACAAATGTAATGTAAAAAATACACAAATATGTCAAAGAAACCACTTGAAAAAAGGTCTCGGCAATGATGCCTGAATTAAATAGCCTATTCCAATCAACAAATGTATTGTTGCTTCTAATAAAGGAGACATACAGTTCTTCTAGATGACACGAAATTGCCGGATGACGAGGAACAATATAGTATGGAAATTGGCAATTTGTAGGGGTATTCATGCTTGGATAATCTAAGGGGTACCAACTAGGGGAACCTAAATGGCCAAAAATTAATAGAAATTTCACATATTACTGTAAATGACTAATAATATTCGCGATTATAGATAGTGAAGATAAACCTTAGTAATAATGGTACTAAAGATTACATTGAAAATATATAAAGGTATTGGTTAATAATTTGATTTACTAACCATGCTAGATGCTAGCGGAAAAAGTGAATTTAACGGTTTCAAAGGGTGACACAACTAGCATTAACATCATGCAGTACAAAGGTAATTAGTTCATTCCATAGAAAACTATAGATATAGCAGGTTCATCAACTATAAAATATTATTATGAAATATAATTACCCAAACTTCAGTCAAGGCGACACAAACACAGTTGTCAAACGATCGACATTCAAAAAAGGATTGGTTTCTTGGTTAACATCTTGACAGCTTTCTTTTGGGTTCTATTACACAAAGTATCCGGTGATGGTTAGGTTTTAAATCTATTTCTTAAAAATGGATGAAGTTGGTAACAATTTGTCAGCTACGATTAATTTATTTCAAAGCATGAATTATCACTATCAAGAAGAAGAATATTGGACGACTTCATTCATTTTTATTTGGAGATGGAAAACAAATTCTTAGCACTTTTAAAACATTTATTACATTTTCACATTGGTCGAGTTGTTCTTCAATAACAGATCATATTTAGAACTTCTCATTTCTCATAGAATTCTTCGCTAGCTAGGCTTCAACGCTTTTTAAATACAAAACCTTTATCTTTGCTCTCCGTTGGACGACTCATCTCTCTACTTATACCTAATCTATGTTTTAGTCTAAACCTTATCAAAAAGGACAAAATAGTCGTCAAAAATTCGTACACAATGATTTAATACTTATACGAAGTTTAAAAGCTACAAATGCCTGAACTTTTTGGCATATTTTTAAATTAGGTATCTACAATTACGATTTCATATTTTGGCAGTGTTAATTTATTACAAATTTACTGAAATTTCATTCATTTCCTTTTAAGGATGCACAAAATTCTATTTATCTTTAAAATTTTATAAAACTCAATTTTGTTTATAATAACTGCAAAACTGATTATAGACACTCTGTCAATTCAACAAAATCATTTCATGATTAAATAAGGAAATGCTATATTTATGTACAGTAATAAATAATTATATCACAACAATTATTTTCCCTAAACAACAACAGTCGCTTTTTTGATTAAAGTTGATAGGATTTATATAAAACGATTTATTATAATAGCGATTATGATATCCATTTTTGTAGGAGCCCATCTGTATAAACTTGGACTTCCACTTGGATTACCTAGAAAACATTTTTTATGATAAATATCACAATTCAAAGCTTTCTAAATAAATTCTAAGAAAACAAGCAAACCAACAAATGAAATCAAACTTACCACTGATAAATTAACACCAACAAAATATAACGTCGTCAATTATAAATTCGAAAGTATAAAAAATTCGTAACAAATTATAATTGAAAAGTTACGCAAAAAATACAATACAATAGCGTTAATATCAAAATTATAAAAAATGCATGCAAAAACATAGTACATAAACACACAATCACAAATCATTTGCACAATTATTCATTTCATTTGTACCTATCATTTATATTACAATTCAGTCCCAGCTACCCATACTGGGCAAGTGAGAGAGAGAGATTACTACAATGAGACAATGAGAAGAAAATTAAAAAAAAAATTAAATTAAATCACAAGACCAAAAATCTAAAGATGTGTTTAAAATAATTGTACTTACAATAAAGCAAAAGCAAGTCTACATAAAGAGAGCCACTGGAAAGTTGACAAAGACTGCAGAACTGAAAACTCTTAAAATAAATTCACTGATACTTAAACAAAAGACGTTCACAGAAAACACACAGAGATGATTACGAGAATGAGAGAGGCGGTTGTTGTCGACGCTTTGGACTGGCCTAGAGGATCTGGAGCGGTATAGACGTCGTAGAAGCCAGCCCTTAGCGGGACTTCGTTAGTTTCTTGGTTGTACTCACCGAGGGCTGTTTGGATATAGAGCTGCGCTGGCAAGGAGTACCCCAGAATGTTATGAGCTCGGACTTGCATTCGATACCGGGTGTCGGGGATCAAGCCGCGTACTTCGTAAGAGATGGCCTCGAATTTAAGCTCTTCTTTTTCACATTGACTTTCATCAGCTACTCGCCATTCGCCGCTTACTTTTAGTACCTATAATGGGCAATATAGATATACAATTTTAATATGTACTGAAACACGAACAATCAACACAACCCTGATTAATAAAGTATTTACTGACTGGACAATGCGATACTTCATACATATCGATGGGTTCTCCATTATGTGCTGGTACCCTCCACTGTAATTCGTATCTGTCTGCATATTTTCCGTGTATAAGCGACTCCGAAGTAATATGTTCCTCTCTCCATTTTGGCTGTTCTGGTGGAGATCTAGAAAACAGTTTAGCAAATGTCTCAATATGTAACTATTAAAGTTTGAATTTATTTATGGTAGTTCGCAATTAGTCTTACAACTTTCCATAACTTTTTTACGATGCCTGCCGGCAAGTTTACCAAAAAACTATTCACTTTTTACTGTTCTTGAATCAGGTAATTTCATTTACTTCTTATTCCAACTTCTTATATTTTGGAGAGCATGACCTTAGCTTGGAAATTAAATTTAAGGATAATTAGAGCAAACCTTACCTCCTTGGCATTATAACAGTGAGGGGAGAACCCCACGGACCAGCTCCCACTTGGTTTACAGCAGCAAATCGGAAGTCATATTTAAACATTGGTCGAAGATTCTCGACAATGTACGGAGAATTTACCGACCAAGTTCTGTTCATAGCGAGGTTCCAATCAAAATTAGCATTCTCTTTGTATTGGGCTGTATATGCAAGAATTGGTGGACCCATATCTTCTGCTGGACCAACGATGTTAAATGACACTGAAGTAGCTGTTATTATGTCTTGTCTTGCCTGCAAGAAATATAAAATGCCCGTTCAAAAAATTGTTTGTATCTTACTTCCAAAAAAATTACCTTCATTGAACTGAAACTTTATCACAACGTGTTAATTAGTATTTGAAACCATTATTTACTTGAACAACTGCTGCAGGAGGGAAAGCCTGTCTAAATTGTATGACGTGCTCGGCTTCTCCCAGTTTATTTGTAGCAATACATCTGTAGTTTCCATATAGACCTGGGTCTAATGGAGTCACAGTAACGTAGCTGATAGGACCAGCTCCATAAATTCTAACATGAGGATTTTCGATAAGGTCATATTCGTGAAACCTGTGAAAGAAAAAATATTATTCATTATCTTCTACCATAGCTATAGTAACTTTTTTTTAATGTATGAGTCGAGAAAATATGTCACTTACTTCCATTTAATAGTTGCGTTGGGAATGCTCTCAGCAATGCAAGTAAGGTTGACTGGTTGTCCATTCCAACTCCAAATTGGCACGTCGGGCATGTGATTAAAGGATGGCGGGAATTGGACAGTCAAGTGACCGTTCTTTCTTGCCTGACCAGCTATATTAGAAAAATAAATGGTTATTTCGTGGGCACTATAGCCAAACCGCAACTATCGGTGTATAATATTTTGTCGATTTCTACATACCATTATTTTCCGCAAGACACTCATACAAGCCATCATCTGTTCTGTTCAGCTTTGAAATACTAATTATTCCACGCGTTTGCATTTGGTCACCTGTTTGACGTTCAGTTATTTCTATTGTGATTCTGAAATTAGTACCATGAATTTATTATTAACTCTTTAAACATTAAACATTTTATTCAAGTTATTTTGAGAACATTATACCTTCCGTTGTCATTAGACCCTGTAACGAAAGGATCTGCATTGCTCAATTTTCTGAAACTAATTCTCGGCGATGGTCTTCCAGTAGCTTTGCATTCTAGTCTTCCTTCTGCATTTAAATCGGCAGTGATATTATACAGTTCAAATATTCTAGGCGGTACAAGTACTTCCACATTAATTTCGGTTTCGTTTTGGCCCGCCTGATTGACCGCACTGCAAATGTATTTGCCGTAGTCACCAGCTTCGACTCTATCAAAAGTTAGCTGACCAGTGATCTCATTCACTTTGAATCGGGATGCTCCGGCCAAGTTCTAAAAAAAACATTTAAGTTTACAATGTGGGTGGATTTTTCATTATAGTAACAAACAATAGCTGCCCTAGATATATTTACCAACTTCAACTACTACAGTTGCTTCAAAAATTCAACAATAATCGTTGAAGTTGCCGAAGTACAAAAAGAGATAAAAAATCTTAACAAGTTGAGTAAATAAAACACATAACTTAATATTTGAACCAGATACTAGTAATAAATTAATAAAGGTGGCAGTACTAAGTAGATGCCTAAGATTCCAGATGAAATTTCGCGCTTAGCTAAACTTAGTAATGACTACAAATAAAAATGAAGTTACGATAGAGATTGAGTACGATAGAGACTCTTTTAGTATTTTAAGAATATCGATCTTTGAACATGAAACAAATACGAAAGTAGAAATACGGTTTACTTACTTCGCGAGTAGATGCTTTGATCCAAGAATATTTCGGAGGAGGCTTGCCCCTAGCTTTACACATAATTGAAGTTGTTTCGCCTTCCTTCACTTCTACTTGCAACTCACGTTTTTCCATTTCTGGTGCCGTGTAGACCTACAAAGCCATTAATAAAAAAAATATATCATTATACTTTTTTATTTTCATAAATAACATATTATATTAGTTGTTATAGGCGTTACAATTACCTCTACTCTTATGTTTCTCTCAGCAAGTTCACCAGTTTGAATCACAATAGCCCGACATGTGTAAGTACCATCATCGCTTTCTTCAACGTTCTTTATCAAAAGACCGTTGGTATGGATAACGTATCTGTCTCCAGTTGAAATCTAAAACAAAATGTAACCCTTATAACCTTATGTAGTATTTTAAGCCGTCCTATTATCGTATTATTGCGTTCCGATTTTGAAGGGTAAGGGTGCTAGTGAAATTACAAGCGCAACGGACTGGTCAACTTATGTCTCAAGGTGACGGACGCAGTGGCAACATGTGACAGTGCCTCTGAGATCTTTGTGATTTAAAGCTTTAAGTGGCACTGCAAATGTTAGACAGGCGTGTCGCATACTACCAGGTTCACGACTTATTCGTCCCGTCACTTGGTATCCCAAAAAGAAACAATATCCCACACCGGCCACAACAGCGTCATAGGTAAAAATTTATCATTTTTCAAGGTATTGTTACTGTCTCATACAGAAACTTCCTCTTTTTAAAAAAAAAGTTGAATTTTGTTCTGTGAGTTGAGTTTTGACTTAGATGGATTGAGGCCGAGTAATTTTAAAGAAAAAAAAATTTGTTGGTGGAAAGTATTTTCTACATAATTATTCAAAAACTGTTTGTATTTCATAGCCAGTTATTATTTAATTAAGGCTCCTAATTCTACCGAAATACGTATATGTTTGTTATGTTAGAATTTTAAATTTGTTCAAGTTCAATGTTATCAAAACAGGCGTCTATTTGGCGCTAAATGAAAATCGTGCTAACACGCTCTAGCTTTCAGAGGTATCCATATCTGTTACTGACTATCTTCAGATTCTTTTTAGCGTAAACCTTTCCGTAGATATAAATAATTCCGTAGATATAAAAAACACTACTAATAGTGCTCTCATAAATGCAGATGCCTCAAGCACCAATTTAAAGTTGCTTGTTTTTCGATATTTCATCAGATTAGATGTATGGAAGCAATGGACTTGCAAAATTTAATCTGCTTTTCCCTTTCGATCTCCAAGGAATCGGTTATGCATGGAGATCACACCATTTTGTCGTAGATGACCACCCACATGCACGAGTCTTAGACTTTTACAATGTGAGAGTGATTGACTAGACAGGGGTGTTCTAGCCTCGACTACACCATCATTTCAATACAAGGACAAGGATAATGAGTGTCCTAATTGCAAAAGAAATTGCCATGACAAAAAGCTCCCAAAGTTGATTGGACACAGTGTGTGCGGTTGCATAATTGGAATCAAAAACCATGTACTCAAAATTCTGACATTTGTGATGATTGTCCCATGTGAAGGGCTTTCTTTTTTATTAGTAAGTTTGTTACCTGGACTAATTATTATGTATGTTATGTTATGTTTCATTGTATTTTTTTATTTGTTTTAACTCGGGACCAGTCAGCTAAATTGGAACAAAGTTCCGATCTTTATAATAATTATGATTATAATAATTGTAAAGATTATTAGATGTTTATAATAATTATGTTGACTAATGCTTAATAAATACAAAGTATACTACTTGTTGTTTCATTTCATACAAAAGACGTTAGTAAAAATCTTAAAAATATGTATGTAAAACGCGATTGAAAAAAAATATGGTCCAAAATACCAGACTTTCCCTTTATTTTTCATTTGGACACAATAATATGTTTGCATAGTAATAAATTACATCAAAATATTATATTTATCTTGTTTTTAATGCCTGTTTCTTACCGGTGTTCCCTCTTTGAACCAATCTACTGATGGAGCAGGTTCAGCAGTCACCTCGCACATGACTTTGAATTCCTTGCCCTTAGTCGCGTATTGGTTCTCATTTGCGTTTGTCCATGTGATTGCCACTGTAATTAATATATTACATTACTTTTTCCATCTTATTTTATTACATCGTTATAATGGAATCGACGTTAGACGGAGCTGTATTCACAAATTCGTTTTCTAAATGAATGTATATAATATACAAAATATATACGAAGTTTCGCGACTAGTTTCAGTTTTGTTGATGTCATTATTGAATAGAGTTTCGACCTGTATGGAACATTTAAAAGTAATTCCTCATTATCATCATAATCATCAAGCCATTTATATTTATATTTATATTTATCATAATCATCAACCCAGTCCCACTGATAGACACGAGTCTCCTCTCAGGCGAGGGTTTAGGCATAGTCTACCACACTGGCCTAAATCGGGTTAAGGACTTAACACGTTCTCCGAGGCCTGTGAACCTTCTTCGACGTGCAGGATTCATCACGATGTTTTCCTTAACCGAAAAGCTTTTAGTAAATTTTAAATTAAATTTCGTACATAAATTCCAAGAAACTCAAAGGTCCGAGGCCGAATTCGAACCTACGGCCTCGGCTTGAAAGGTGTTAGGTCAATTTACTAGGCTACCACAGCTTGTGTATTTAAATTAATTACTGTTTTAGTATTTGTTACTTAATTAATATGAATATTACCGATAGTATCTAAAACGACGCTGTCGCTAAGAGGTATATTAGCGTAAGCAGCGACACAGGTGTAATTTCCCGCCATTGCAGGAGTTATCGACGAAATGTACAATAGTTGAGATTGCTTCGCTGGTTGAGCTTCCGTGTAGATCTCCGGTCGGGTACCTGGACTGTATTGAAACAGAAGAAACGGATATTTTATTTAGATTCAAACAAGTTCCAATTGATCTTCATTTAATTAGATCATGAGCTTTAGTCGTTTCCACTGTGGATGTTGGATTTGGAACAAACTTGAGAAAATTACTTTTCTACATTGATTTTGTTCTGGGTGTTCTGGGTTATTACTACACCGGAGCCCGCCGAAGTGAATTCCGTTGTATTAAAGGTGTTGACCAAGTAATAAGGTGTGGTGTGCACATTACACTAGATTACTATAAATACGTTCTGTAGTCAAATTATTTCCTCTTTCTCCTTTAAAGTAACTTCTTTTTAAAAATAGCACATCGATTATTGAGTAGGAAGTGTCAATGGGAGAATAAAAGATACAATAGTACATAGAGATCTATTAAATGAATACATGTTTTAGTATACAGCCTGGTTATACGTATAAGGTAGATTTTAGCGGTTTTGTCTTAAGTCTTCTCGATAGACAAATACCAGACTTCATCATAGTTCAAAATAGGTATAAATCTGTGTAAGTCTAAAGTCAAATAAGGGCTTTATATCTGTAGTATGGAATCGTTTATTAATAAACGTC